TTCATTTATTGGAACGCTTAGTGTGAAAGCGCTTTGAATGGTTATGTGAAAAAAAAAGAAAAAAGAGTTGCCTTTAGGAGCACTTTTTCAATAAGTAAAGAGCTCCTATTGGTTATCTATTTTTTTTAAAAGATCTCCCTTTAAGAGTGCTTCCACATTAATGCTTTGATGGGTTAAAAAATGAGACAAAAAGAACTGACTTTTAGGATTCCTAAATGGATAAGGATTCTAAAAGGTGTAAGGATAATGAAGCGCTTTTTTTGAAAGCACTCTTATAGGCTAAGAGAACTATCTTTTTAGAGTGCCTTTTTTAGATCCGAATAGAATAATAGTCGAGACTTACAATTTCCCCCACATGTTTAAAGTTGAGACCCATTTATCCTCTCAAATCCTTCTCTCTTAAAACCCTTCCAATTTTCGTTTGCTGCCTCACCGCCATCGGTGTCCTATATAAATGGTGCAATTCTCTTTATTTTTTGGTGTGCTTATATTGGAATTTAGTCTTTTTTAGTTGAGCTTGAAGTTGAATGTAGTTATTATTGAAGTATGGGAGGTTGAAATTTAAGAGGAAACTCTTGCTTATTTTTTTTTTGTTGTATTTGTGAAATGTTTTAATATGCTTATATTGGAATTCTTTTTTTAAGACTATAATAGTATTAAGCTAATAGATAAACCTAAGATAAATTACAATTGTTTAATAGATTTTAGTTGCATGATGCTACAAAATTTTTATTTAGATGAATTGATATACTATATTATTGAATTTGATTATTTAGATATTCCACTTTTAGGGGGACTTTGCCGAATATTTTTAAAAAATTTTAAGTCTTTGTTTCTTGAATTTATATGACTATATTAGTGCTATGGATCATAAATAGATGTTAGCTAATTGATTTTTCAGAGAATATTTAGATGGGGTGAATGAGTTTATTGAGTTTTCATTTTCTTGTGATTAAGACCCCCATGGAATCATATGTTCTTATTTAAAATATTGCTATGAAAGACAAGTAAGGCCAATAGAATTGAAAGATCATTTGATATATAATGGGATTGATCCAACTTACATTTGTTGAATTATGCATGGGGAGACAAGGAATTACACTAGTGATTAGAGGAATAGTGTGAGCGCCATATCATTTGATTATGATAATGGGACATATGATGTTGACCGTCTTGACAATACAATTGATATGGTTGAAGAGGATTTTAAGGACTATCCTAAAGTGTTTAAGAGATTGAAGAGCGATATTGATAAACCGTTGTACTCTAGTTGTAAGAAATTCATAAAATTGTTAATTGTTTTGAAATTGTACAACCTAAAAGCGGCTAATGGATGGAGTGACAAGAGTTTTATATATTTGCTTGAACTTTTGTATGAAATGTTGCCAGAGTACAATGAGCTTCCACATAATACTTATGAGCTAAAAAGGTGCTATTCTCTATTGGGATGAGTTATGAAAAAATACATGCATATCCTAGTAGCTGTGTCCTCTTTCGGAATGAGTATTCAATTCTCTTTTTGGAATAAGTATTCAACCTTGATAAGTATCTAAAATGCGATGCCTCATGGTATAAGAGAAGTAGGCATAGCTCGACGAAGGTGTTGTAATATTTTCCAACCATACCAAGATTCAAATTCTTGTGCAATAATGCAGAAGATGCCAAGTACTTAACATGGCATGCTGACGAGAAAATGAAAGATGGCAAGCTATAGTACCCTGTGGATTCTCCTTAATAGAAAATGTTTGATTTTATGTATCTCGAGCTTAAGGATGAAGATAGACACCTGTGCCTTATATTAGCCATTAATGAAATGAACCCTCATGACATGCAAAGTAGTACTTATAGTATATGGCTAGTAATTTTAATGATTCATAAACTTCCTTTAGTGTTGTGCATGAAGTGTAAATTTATGTTGCTATCATCATTGATTTCTAGGCCCTGACAATTAAGAAATAATACAGATGTGTACTTGGCTATATTGATTAAAGATTTAAAGCTACTATGGCAGATGAGTGTGGAGGTCTACAATGGGCATGGATAGGAACATTTCATCTTGTGAGCAATATTATTTGGCACCATAAATGACTTTCTTGCCTATGATAATCTGTCAGAATATAATATCAAAGGGCGAGATGTATGGCTTGTATGTGAAGAGCACACTTGTTTAGTGCAATTGGACCATTGTAAGAATAATATCTTCATGGGTTATCATCAATTTTTACCTCAAGCACATCATTACCAATGGTTGAAGAAGGCCTTCAATGGCCAGTCAAAGAAGAGTAGAGTTCCTTTGCCTTTAATCAGTAAGCAGTTATTTGAAAAGGTCAAATATTTGAATATTTAGTTTAAAAAATCATTTGTAGGTAGGCTTGTTACAAACGGTTGGAAAATTTTTATCTTCTTTAAACTACCATATTGTAAGTCCCTAAATGTGAGGTATTTTCTTGATGTGATGCATATTAAAAAAAAATGTTTGTGCCAATCTTATTGTCACATTACCCCACATTTTAGGAAAGAGCAAGGACGATTTTAATGCAAGATTGAATTTAGTTAGTATGATGTTAAGAAAAGAGTTGACACTAGTGAGAAAGGGAAAATGCACTTTGTGTCGCAACTTTAGACACGACAGCAAAATGAAACGTTTTTGAACATATATGTTAGGCTAAAGTAAAAAATGGGTCATATATACTCCAAAACTCTAACTTTATTAGCTAAATAAAATGTTTTGTTTTGCTATCACGACGAAAGTCACAATACAAAATCACAATGTTAGGATGACTTTAGCAATTTTGTACTGTTTTCAATGTTAACAAAACTTAGCCTTTATGTATTTGATTTCTTTATCTAAAAGCCTTCTAAAAGCATCAACAAAAGTCTAAAAATGCATCTAAGGAAACCTTAAACCAAAATATTAATAAATTAACTTCAAAATACCAAAAATAGAGTCATGGTTTAAGTTTTCAAAATAATATGCACATTTTTCTAACTTAAGTGTTTAAAATATGAAAAATTGTGCCAAAATATATTAAAAATGCAAGGAAAATGTGCTGAAAATGATATAAAATTCTAGAAGTTAACACCTAACTTATCTAAGATGGATGTACCCGATAAAGCATTACTTAAAGGTATTAAAAGGATATGTAAAAAATTAAAGTCAGCTTGAGGCTGTATTATTGAGAGGTACATCATAAAGGAAGTAGTTGAATTGTGCACTTGATATATCTTTAATGTGGATGCCATTATATTGCCAAAGTATAAGAAGGATACCATAGGTGAGCAGGGTAGAATCATTGAGAAAAATTATTAGTATATATAGGCAAGACACAATGGGAGCAAGTTTACTTATTTGTTTTACACAACACTAAGTGGGTTGAGCCGTATTTCAATAGACATATGGAAATAGTTAGGTGTTAGAATAAGGGTAAGCATGAAAGTTGGCTAACAACATATCACAACTATCATTTTATAGACTGGTTTAGAGCTCTCATATCTAAAGAGTCCCAACTTTAAAAAAGGTTGAGGTTCTTGGCCAAGAGTCTTGGATTTGAAGTATTTTCTTATATAAGTTATGTAATTAATGACATTACATACTACATGAAAAGTCAAGATGCTCATAGCATTATGCAAAATAGTGGTATAACGCTTGTAAATCAATCAATGTATGTCTTTAGTACTTGATTCCTTGTTTAACAATGGTATCATTTGAGGCTCTCACTTGCTACAAATTAGTGAGAACGGTGAAAGAGCTACTGATATTGATGAGTCAAGCTAGCTCTTAGTGGAGCTTAGAGGTGTAGATTTGTTGTTAAGCTTGGGAATTCCATATGGTGTGGCCTTGAATCTAATCTTCATAATGATGCTTAAGATGGTTGCAACTTTCTTCTTCCTCCTCATCTTGGGTGACTGATTGGAGTTTGCTGTAGGATTTGAGATCAGAGATGACACCATGTCAATGTCGAATTGAATTCTTTGGGATTCTTTCCTTGCTTGAAAAAGTATAATCTCTTGGTGTTTTAGCCTGCAAAGTAGGATTCAACCATAGAGAGCCAGTAACTATGGGAGCAATTTCTTTTTTTTTAAAAAAAAAATAAAGGCATTTTTGTAGATGCACATTGAAATTTGTTTGCATTTAAAGCCCTTAGGATTTCAAAGTTATTAAGTTATTTTTGCATTACATGGGAATTTTTGATAATTAGAATTCTTCTAAGAGACCTTTGCGTGATTTTTCCTTGTTGTTAATCCAATTTAACTTGATTTCAAATTGTTTAAATTTAAATTGCTTAATCACTCCAATAATTAAATAGAAATAGTCAAAACACTAATTTGGATCCTCTCTATACCTTCCTCAATGCATCTCTCAATATCCATTCATTTAATTATTCATTTGATTTAATGATATTAGATTGCTAATTATGATAGTAAAATAAATATAATATTCATTTAATGATTATCACAAATAAGTATTATAAACTTATTTTCAAAAACATTTAGCTTTTGACAAAATTTATGTATGTCTGCAAAACTAAAAGTCAGATAAAAGAATATCATATTAACAAATTAATGTTCTTTCTGAACAAATAAATAAGACATTTAATTCTTTGAGATTATAAATGTTTAAAAATATAAAATATTTTTACTTTTTCAATGTATAATTAAGGAGCAGACTCCCAGAATAACCTTTAAACTGGTCTGCGAGAGAGGCCAATGGACACCTTCGTAATCACCGCCATGAAGGAAAGGAGAGAAGCGGATTCGGAAGCATCTCCGTTATTTATATTCAACTGTGCCTAATCAACTTTAAACCTCGACTGATATCATTAAAAAATCGAAGCATTATTAGCTGCACGAATTCAGGCTCTTGTAGTTAACTGCGCGCGCGGGGCGAAGAGATTCTGTTAACTTGAGAGTTGAGATGACATCCAAGTTAATTACAGTCAAATTGAAATTTCACATTATGAATATTCATTTGGAATCTAAGAATATAATCCAGCCAAAACTTAATGGGTTAAAGAAAATATTTGCCAGCAAAGCATTATTAGAGCCAAAAACAGCATACAACTTTTCAATAGACAAGCGACAGTGGAGACAAACATGTAGATCTCATACAAAACATTAAATCCTAATCCACTCTAATAAACACACCAGCATCCCCTCCTTTGGCACTTGCTTTATAAACTCCATCACACTTGTGGGAAACATTAAGTTACTCATTCTTTTATCTTATCAAGGCTTATATGCTCAACAGCGCCGCGAAAGCGACTCCAAGGGTGGACACTGCAGTTCCACACAAGCGGATTCTGATGGCGCCAGAGTTCACTTGAGTGGGAACAACCTGCGACGATTGCGTGGAATCTGTGGACGGCTTCTCCTTCTCTGGCTTAGGGGCCTTGGCGACCGGACTAACTTCATCAATGTCTTTCGGGGGTGCCTGGGCTTTTGGCTTTGCTTTTGCTTTTGCAGGCGCCGGAGCCGGCGCCTTAGCAGCAGCGAAGAAGTCCTGAGGAAGAAGCACCTTCCCAACCCTGTAAATATTTAGATGATTATCCGTATATATGACCCCATTCAATGTGGTATTAACAACCCCGGTAGAAATGTTAACGTTCCCCCCAAAACTGGTCACATTTAGCTGTGCTTTACTCGGGTTAGCACTGGCCAGTGTACGAACCGGGTTGGTGAGGGTGTCGAAGTTTGAGGTGGAGATATAGTCAGGGAGAACGTGGAACTGCAAGAGCTCGAGCTTTTGCCTGTCGGACAGAGTGTTCAGGAATCCTGGTTTGAGTTCTGAAAATGCACCGTCGTCCGGTGCGAGAATGGTGATGCCGCCTGATTTTGCAGTGGCCAGCTGTGAACTGATTTGGTTTACCAATTGGGTGGATTTCAGCAAACGGATAAAGACAGTGTACCCGTTGGCCTGAGTCAGGATTCCAACGATATCGACGGAAGGTGACTGGGGTACTGCCGGAGCTGCCGCTGCAGGGGAGGTTGCGGCCTTTGCCGGGGCCGCTGCTGGTGATTGTGCAAGAGTGGTGGTGGTGGTGGTGGTGGAACACAGGAAGGAAATTAGAAGAGCCAGGGAGAAAAACGAGGGAGATTGCTTCATTGTCGTAGTATGGGTGGGAGTGAAGGATGTGTTATGAGGACAATGATTGAAATGGCAGTTGCAGTGAGTGCTTGGTGAATTAGAGAGGGGGACGAGAGGGGGTTTTATTGAGGGTGGCAGAGAGTGAATGATTGGTAGGTGAGAGGTTTGGTTGCAGAATCTGTAATGTGATATGTGAGCAGACTAGAAAGGCGAATTAAGGTGCTTTACGTGCATCGATGAAGATTGAGAAGGGTGGGATGGAGAAAGTGGCTCACCAGACTGAGCACTATCAGATGCGTCGTGCACATGAGCAAGTGAAGGGAAAAGGTACGTGATTAATTGTAAGCGTACGTTTCTTTTTCCGGCACCAGCATGAGGTGGCGCATCAAAATTGCAATTTACACACGACGTACGGATCAAATCGAAGTTTACTCTTGCCTTTATGTTGCATATGGATGGGTGAATTGAAATTAAAAATTTTATATTTAAAATTTATAAATTCTAAATTTTTCGCTTGGAGAATATAAAAAATTTTAAATTATAATATTAAAATCCTTTGTTTAGATATTAAATAAAATTTAATATTTTAAATTTTATGTTTGAATTTCAAAGCAACGGACAATGTTAACAATCCAATTCTAGTCAAAGTTTGTGGTCTGGACAGTTGACTTCCATTGAAACCAAACCCTTGACACCTACTGGGATTGAACAACAGGCTTTCACCAGGATTGTATTGCCGGTGACAATTGGAATCATACGGCTGACTTTCATTAAGATCAGATCATAGCACTGACTAGGAGAGCATAACTAACGCAGACTAGGACCAAAGCGCAGGAGATGACCACAATCCCACTAGTGCTAACGGGGTCGGACGGTAGACTTCCACTAAGATGAATCGCTGGCCCCAATTGAGACCAAAGTGCAGGTGATACCTGAGATTGAACGACCGGCATCTACTGGTGTTGAATCCTCAAAGCCAATCAAAAGTGAAGGTCGCCTTCCATTGAGACCAAATCGCTTATGCCAATTAGGAACCGGAGTGTAGGCAACAATCGAGACTAGAGTACAGGTAACAATCAGGACCGAAGCATAGGCGGCAACTGGGAGTGAATAGCCGACTTCCACCAAGATGAGACTTCCGATGCAGACCAAGACTGGATGGCCGATTTCCATTAAGATCGAAGTATAGGCGACGAACGAGATAGAACGACTGACTTCCACAGAGATAGGATCGCCAGCATCGACCAAGATTGGAGTCTAGACAACGACCGGGACCAGAGTGAAGTGACGACATAACTGAACAACCAACTTCTATAAGGATCAAACCACTAGTTCTAACCAGGACCGGAGTACAGGCAATAATCAGGGCTAGATGACGACTTCTATAGGGACGTTACTAACTTTTGGTCCCAGTCTGTACCCCTTTTGCTTGCACTTTGTTCCTGGTCAATGCTGACAATTTGATCCTAGTGGAAGTAAGCTGTTCGTCCTAGTGAAAGTTGGCTATCTAGTATAATTTCTTCCTTGACATTACTAAACACATGGAAATGAGACACAAGACACTATTATGATAACTAATATTAGTTAAATTCCTTATATAAGGTTATCATAACGCAATGGTTTAGAAAATTAGTTTAAAGGATTTGGTTCCTAAGAAACCCTTTTTGAAAATACATTTGAGCTCAAACTATAATTTTTTTTAAAAAAAATTAAACAATGTAGTGGAAGTGTAGAAATCAAACATAACCCTTAAAAGCAACAATGGAACATTTTGAAAAAAATCCAGAAATAGCCTCATCTGTCACGGGGCAGGTATCACCAGCCACAATAAATGGCATGGAGGAACTACGTCCCTCTCTGTGCAGTGCGCCGTAGTGCACTCCTATTCTCATGACAATTCTACTATCATGACATCTCTTCTAGCTCACTTTTAGAGTGTGTTGTTTTGCCATCCAACGTTTGATTTGAGCTATTCAAGTGTTTATATATAGCTCAAGGAGCTACCTAGCTATTAGCATGAGTCTCACACTCAAACACTTAGTCATTTAAAAGTTGAATACCGGACACAAAATAGTCCATGTTTAACCACAAGGGTGTTCAAACTACAAACCTAGTGCTAATAACTTTAGAGTTACTTGAACTAACTCAAATGAACCATAAATAACATGGTAGACCAATTATACTATAACCTACATAATCCGAACACAAATTGGCCAACAAAACTCCAATTCCATAATGAATGCAAAAGGGTAACAATAATTCACATTAAACATTATTTTGGCTAATCAAACATATAATCAACATAAAAATATTACTTGTACTAACATTTCAACCTCACATAATAATTTCATCATAGTTACATTATCTTAAGTTGAGATATCTACAATTACAAATTTCTCATGCAAGTGACCCTAGAACATATCATAATCCTAAATTGACATAAACATAAATCATTCATTACAAACCAAAGATAGAGTGAGAGGACTATACAAATACAAGTTCCTCAGCTCTCTATAGCACCTTCCTTCCCATTGGCCCTATCGAAGCCTTTACCTATAAAATATAATCACAGGATGAGTTGAAAACTCAATAATCAAATAATCTAAACAAACTACTTATGTGTGAGAATAGTTAGTGAGTATGTGAAGTGACATTTAAAATATATATTCTATATATATCAAGTTACATACACGCATATGGCTATACATTAGAAATATACATAATCAACACATCGCCTTATATCCTCCTTATTTTTTTTGATTAAATCCGTGGGCTAACAATTTGATTAAATCAAATCCATGTGACTAGATAAGCTCAATCTCACTAACAACACTATTCCTTTACCTATATTATTTCAAAACTCCCAAATCTCACTTAGGGTTTGTCCAAACCCTAATAAAAAATTTTAAATTACTACACAATCTATAAATCTAGGTTTGAAAGCTTGATTTAACTCTCTAAAATCTTAAATTAACTAATAGGTTCGGTCAGAACCTAAGAAAACATGAAATCAAGTCACAACCATACCTAAATCTACTAAAAATTCACATATAGAAGGAAGGAAGAAGATAGGAAGCTTACCTAATAATAATCAAGCTCCAAAAGCTTTCAAAATGATGTTGGACAGCAGTCCTAGCAGCCTCAAACTTTACATCAATCGCCCTCTTGCATTCTCTCTCTTCTTTTCCTTCTATTTCAAAAGTGAAGACAAATCTAATGTATTTAGATTTTTGTCTAGTGAGCCCATAACGAGATTTGGGCCTCACTTGATGCCCAGTCTGCTCGAACTCCATCTTATCCTTCTTTTAAAGCTGTCAAATAATCCATAAACCTCATTAGTCATTCAAAAACACCATGAACTTATTAATCACTTAATTTTACCAATTTTAACCTTTTAAACACTTAAAATTTCAAAGTTTAAAATCTAGGTTGTTATATCTGGTCCTAGTCGTCACCTTTTCTTTAGTCTCGGTTGACATTGGTGGTCCAGTCCTAATAGATGTCGGTCGTCTGGTCCTTATTGGCGCTGGCAGTTCGATCCTAGTTGTTACTTGCACTTCAGTCCCAGTCCGTGTTAGTGGTAGAATCCTGATAGAAGTCAGCTATCTGATCTTGATCATCACCTGCACTTTAGTCCTGATCAGTGCTAGTGGTTCAGTCCCAATGGAAGTCAGCTGTCGCCTGCACTTCTGTCTTAGTCAGTATCAGTGGTTAGACCCTAGTCAGTGCTGACGGTCTAGTCTTGGTTGGTGCCATCAATTTAGTTCCGATGGAAGTCAGCCGTTTGATATCGGTTGGTGTCAAGTGTTCGATCCGAAGTGGCTGCTGTAGCCCAATCTTGGCCTCTGCTAGCAATTTGATCCTGTTTGGTGCTACCAATAGATTAGTTAAATTATAAAGAGATTGGTATAAGATTTGAAATAATAGAAGTTTAAAAGAATTTCAAACTACAAAGAGATTAAGATAAAACTTGGATTTAGATTTGGGTCAAATCCAAACCCATACTTTTTTAATTACCCAAACAATAAATTTGACTCAAATCCAAATCCATGTGCATTCAAACATAGCATTAATTAAAAGTAGGGGAAAACATTTATTTTATTTGGATGTGGGAAAATAACGTGACCGGATGAGCGCAGTGGGCGTTAGGAGTTTTTCTTTGATGGATTTTAAAAATAAGGAAAATAAGAATATTTTATTTTATTTAAATTTTTTTCCTGGTATAATCTTGTTTCAAGACGTCGAGGTAGGAGAAACGGAATAAGCAAAATTTTTCAGAAATTGAGATACTGTCCTTGGAACCTCCTACCAAAAAAGGTTGCCCTTTTGGAACCAGCTCTTGAAGTCAGTTTCATGCTATTGATGCGTATGTTAAGCCCATTGTTGGAAGTACCGATTAGGGTTACAGTTGATTGGAACATTCATCTAGAAGCATTGGAAACTTGAAGCAAAAAGATATCCAAACATTATATCTTGAAAATTAACTTTACCTATTCTTGGAAACTTGTTGAAAATGGACTTTTGCAATTTTTAAAACAGCGTTACTTAATTTTATATTCCAGGATTCACTAACTCAGTTGCACCATTAATATAATTAGTATTATTCGATCCAATCGAGTGTGCCATCGGACCTTGATTTTCTTTAGCTGCGAAAAGAATTTAAGAATTTACAAGTTTAATTCTAACTCAAAAGCAAAACGGCATAATTTCACCGATTGAGCTATTCATTGTATTAATAAGAATTTTTATAATAAAAAAATAAATGAATTGAATTTCGAGAATAAAAAAAAAGGCAAGACTAAATTAAAAGATCAATTAACAAGAATTTTCAAGAGAAAATGACAGAAAAAATTCCTTTAAAATATGTAAAAGATAATAAGATCTTGTAAAATGTGATAATTTAAAAAAAATTAACTTTTTGATCCTTAAAATTTTGACTCACTTAAAAGTTAAAACACAATCCTTTAAGTATGACTTGGTACATCTTTGTCCCTCAATTTTTACCTCATCTATAATTTAATTCCTAAATTTTTCACCCTTTACAAGTTTATCCTTATCATCCTTAACTTTTCATGAGCCAGCACTGAGTCATCATATATAGTAAAAAAAAAAATTAATCATTTGATTCTTGTAGTTTTGATTAAGTTATAACTTAATTTTTTAACTTTGACTCGTTATAACTCAGTTTTTAAAATTTGATTCAATTGTAAATTAATCCCTAAACTTTACTTTTCGCAATTTAATTCTTGAGGTTTTAACCTCTTAAATATTGACCCTATATTTTAAAAAATAAAATTATAAAGATTAAAAATATTTTAATTTTTAATATTTATAAAGATTAAAAGGGTTTAATAATTTAAAATATTAGTAATAAATTTTAAAACATAAAGATCAATATTTAAGAAGTTAAAATTTTAGGTATTCAATTATAAGAGGCAAAGTTCAGGAATTGATTTACAATCAAGTCAAAATTTCAAGAACTAAGTTATAATTAGTCAAAGTTGAGAGATTAAGTTAAAATTGAGTTAAAACTACAAGGACCAAATGATTAATTTTTTCAAAAATATATTAATGACATTGTTAAAAAATTGCTTATATAGTTTCTAACTCAGTGGCATGTGGATATTGCATGTATTTTTTATTGCAAACTGTAACCAATGTACCTTCTTTAATTTGTTACCCAATCACTCGCTCGCTCACCTTCTTCTTCTCGTTTTTTTTTTTTTTGGATTAATGAGACAGGCCGCAGCCTGGACAACGAGCTTACATAGTTTTATCAGATCAATATATGTCATTACAATCCACCAAGTGGTCAAACCAAAAAGAAACATCATCAACTCTATTCTGAGCATCAGTGGCAGCCAATCAGCAAGTTTGATAACTTCCTTATTTATATATCTAATTACTTCCACATTGCAGTCTCCAAATAGCAGATTATGCACCTGAATTTCAACTCACAAAGGATGATTTACACCACCTCCTGTCTTTAGAAGATGAATACCTCTAGAAAGTCCGTGTAACATTGACTCTTGGATATATCATAATGTTTGCATAATTGTAATCCCATTTTCAGAGCCAGTAGTTCAGCACCAGTGGGTGGATAAAATTCAAATCTGCTCTGAAATCCAAAAATTCAATTACCTTCTTTGATTCCTGTTCTTTTCTTTCATTTAAGAAGAAGAAGCACAAAGAAAAAGATGACTGACAGGTAAGACTCTGCGAGAAGAAGAAAAAGCATAAAGAACCAGAGACTACTTGCGCGCTGCTTTGGAATAAGGCAAGAAGATGGGGACGAAAGAGAAGACACAGTTTGAACCATGTAAAGTCGTTGAGTCAGAACCATGTAAGCAATAGTTTGACAGTGTTATTAATATTTTTTGCCATGCAGGATGATTAAGTGTGTTGACTCATGATGAGTTGAGAATGATAAGGATAAAATTATAGAGAGTGAAAAATTTAGAAATTAAGTTATATGTGAATTAAAAGTTAAGGAATTGAGTTGTATCAAATCATAATTGAGAAACTAAGTTTTAAGTGAGTCAAAACTTAAAAGAGTAAAAGATTAATTTTTTTTTCTTTTTAAGTTCTTTGTGACTTTTCTAACATTAACATATTTTGTGAAATGACTACAATACCCCCAATTTAAACTAAAAAAAGAAATGGGAAGAGCGAAATTTGTTATTTGCTAATATCATGTTTTAGTCATTGACAAAATAAAAGTAGTCATTATTTAAATTAAAATAGCCGTTAATATTTATAACACTTGAACTTCAATGATTAAAAAAATTTGCATGGGACAAGTTGTAATTACTTATCCCATTTGAATTATTACCAAAAAAAGTAACCATTATCTAAATCAAAATAGTTAATAATATTTACAACATTTGAACTTCAATGATTGAAAAATTTGCAAAGTGAAACTCATCATTTACTATCTCATTTTAATCATGGCTATTTTTACTCAAATTAGTGATTGCCCATTTTTGTTTTAAATTGAGGTCATTATAAACATTTCACAAATGAAATTAATGTCGGAAAGGTTCTAGGAGAACTAGAGAAGAATTATCAGGTTTCACAGGATCTCATTATCATTTAATATTTTAGGAGAATTCTTCTGTCATTTTTTTAATTTTCATTTTCAATATAATACATTTAGAAAAGGTTGTGAAAATGGTTATTTAGATGCCCTTATTTTTATTTATTGTGATCATATTTAATTGAATCAGGTATTATTTTGTTTCTTGAATCCATTAACATGTGGGTTAAATACACAAATGTATAATAATTCCCTCTTGAAATTCTCCAAGGAACATTTATGAATAAATTAATAGTATAAAACTTTGAATCAATTTGCTTGGTTGAACTAATAGTAAAGCATTAAATCAGCATTTTGATCGGTTTAATATAATAATCAATCTTGCTTTTAGTACCTTATATAAAATGCAAATTCAATGAATACTCCCTTCAGTCTTATTTATAAAGCAGAAAAATAATTTTTTTGTCTCCTTTATAAGTTATATTATTAAATTTTTATCACAAACTTTTCACTTTGTCTTCCATTAAATGTTGGATAATAATATATATGTGTGTATGTTGTTAAGATAACAATTTATTAAATTTTTAAATAAAATTAATGAGATTTTAATTTTTTTTTTGAATCAACGAAATTAAATATATTAAGAATGACTTTTAAATACGAGTAGATGAGTATTTTTTACTTCTTTTAGCTTTTGTTCTTGTTCAACTGTGCCACTTTTTTTAATATTCTTGTAATTACCCCATGAAATTTTAATCGTGCCTGGTGCAAGGCCATCCCGTATTCCAACCATAAAGCTAGTAATTAATTAAGCAACAGTCAAGTGTTTGATCCATACAATATCGACGACATAAAATTAACATCGAAAACAAATTATAAACTTTTAAAAGTTAAATAACAAAATCATACAATGATTCACATCTTCCTCAAACGCCCAAAAAAAAAATCAAAGAAAAAGAACACATAGGCAATTTTTTTAAAAAAGAAAAAAGAAAAAAAAAAACAGAGAGATTGAGAGTCGCGCTTGTTCCCAAAATTCGACTGCATCCGCCGAATGGATCTCCTTCAAAACCGCATCGTTGCGGCAACAACGAAGGCCACCCCAAGAGACATCAGCGTAGCTCCTTGGGTCCTAAATGCACCAACCGCTCCTGATTTTTCCTGGGCCGTGTCATCCGCGCCATCATCGTCTTCTGATGGCTTCTCCTTATCAGTTTTAGGCGTTTTTGCCAGGCTTGCTGGAGCCGCCGCCGGAGCGGACTTGGGCAAAACGAAGTCCAGAGGAAGAAGCACCTTGTCCAAACGATATATAGCTAGCTGCCTGTCGGAGTATACCACGCCTTTAATGGTGGCATTCACAACCCCCGTGGTGATATTCACGCTGTCCCCCAAGGTCGTCACGTTGAGCTGCAGCCTGGCGGGATTATCGGTACCGGCCAGCGTCTGTACCGGGTTGTTAAGAGAATCGAAATTGTTGCTGGCAACGAAAACGGGAAGAATGTGGAACTGTAAAAGCTCGATCTTTTGGCCGTTGTTCAGGGAGTTGAGGAACCCTGCTTTGAGCTCCGAGAAGGCGCCGTCGTCTGGGGCTAGAACGGTCAGGCCACCAGCTTTTGCAGTTATGAGCTGCGAATTGACGTTGTTGATGATTTCCGTGGTCTTCAACAGGCGGCCGAAAACAGTGAACACTTTGGCCTTCTTGAGGATTTTTGTGATGTCGTCGGGGGTTGAATCAGAGGAGGAGGAGTCTGGAGATTGAGGTGATGTGGGGACCAAAGGCTTCGCCGGCGCCGGCGCCGGCGCCAGAGCCTTAGGGGCAGCGGGGGATGGTCTTTTGGGTGGGGGTTTAGGGGAAGCGGCGGGTGACTGGGCGAAAGTGGAGATGGAAGAGAACAAAAGGATGAGTACTGAGAAGGAGAAGAGAGCTTGATCGATCTTCTTCATCCTGTTGATAGAAAGAAGGAAGGCCTTGATGGTTGTGGAAGAATGATGAACAATGATTGGAATTGTGGTGTGTTGATGAGGAAGACGGATTGAGGAGAAGGGTTTTATATAGGCTGATAGGTGAAATGTTTTGTTGAGAAACTTCGATGGTTTGGGTTTTGTGAGGTTTACATCTCATCCTTCATGCAGATGAAGCATCATTATATTTTATCCACCAAGTTATTATTGGCTTCTATCTATGCCAAACTGATATTTCACAGTCTTAAACCTAGCAATCATGCTAGCTAATATCCAGATCTGTTGACGTTGATTTTTCTTTTCCCTCCATATATCATATCTCCCTGTTTATTTTTTTTTTTTTTTATTGGGGAGTGGAAGGTTTGAGATGTGCCATAGGAGTTTGGAATAATGAGAGCGCTTTACAGTCACGTGACCAAATTGATTAGTTAGTATCTGACTTTTAAATATGGGTTACCATTATTTTAAAGAAAAAAATTTTCCCTATGAAGTTTGACAGACAAGAGTCATGGTGTTTGCATTAGTTGTTTCCTTTCAAAACGTTTCTTCTTCCAAAATATAACGTGATATTTCAGATGAAAAAACATACAAATTGGTTGAATCAATTTATTAGGTTGCAGAAATGGACATGATGTTTAACTCCACATGCATATGGGTTCCCAGTTCTCAATCAATAGAATTCAGGAATTAGATCCATGGATTTATGTCTGTTTCATTCACTTGTTAACACTCACAAGTCACAATCTTCCCGTTACGTTGGGTGATATATATGATTAGCTAGAACGACAGCGATAAACCATCTGCCATGAAGACGTCAGAAAGTAACATTCAGGTTCTTTTTCCAGAGAAAATTATCCCCTTTTTTGAGACTTTTTAAAATTATTCTAACTTTTTCAAAAAAATTGGAATGCGTTAAAATACAATACTGTCCTTAAAGGTTTTCCAGAGACGTAATTGATATTTTAAAGTATTTAAAGGTATAATTTTATCCTGATATTTTTTAAGAAGGTACAAATTTGTCTTATGTTGTTAGACCCTAATGTTTAATTAACTGTTAGTTGACCAACTCAATTGCTTCTTCAGTACTCTCCTCATCACTACTACAGAATATATATTTAGAAGCAGGTATTTAGGAGTGCTTCTTTAAAAAGCGCTCTAAAATGTGAATGCAAAATTTACCGAAGTGCTTTTATAAATAAGCGCTCCTGTATATTAGGGCTTCTCAATAAGATAACTTTTCTAATTAATATAAATAAAATATTAAAAATTTAAAAAGACCTTCGGGAGTACTCATAGTTAAGCGCTCTGAAAGAACAGATCTTCCGGAGCACTCATGGTTGAGCACTCTGGAAGAGTACCCGTGGATCTTTTTATTTTTCTATCCCCGTCAGTTTTCTTTTCCTCATACATGAGTTTCTTTCAAAATCTCTCTCTCATTTGCTGAGGCCGTGCGTTCCCAACTTCCAGATCGTCGTTGTATTAGTGTTTCATCCGTTGCTGTTCACTATTCAGATCATCGTCCGCTGCTGTTTGCTGGTGCAGAAAGTTGTCCGCTGCTGTTTGCTGGTGCAGAAAGTTGTCCGCTGCTGTTCGTTCATTTCTGTGTTGTGTCGCGCCATCTATCTCTGTTTTTGCATTGCTGTCGCCGCCACCGTTACTGTTCTCTGTTCCAAAAATTCGTTCACCGCCGTCACTGTTTTAGATCTGCATCTCTGTTCTAGATCTGCGCCACTGCTATACACCGGAGGAAGCAACATCATGAAGACCTCCGTTGCCGCCGTGCGTTGCTGCTGTGCAACGGAGGAAGCAACGCCACAAAGACCTCCATTGTTGTCGTGAAGACCGCCATTTTTTGCCATGAAGACTACACTGTGATGGTATTTTTTTAATAATTAATTTATAATGTAATATATTGATATATATTTGAGAATAAATTATATATATATATATATATATTTTAATAATTAATATTATAGATAATATATGAATTGAAGTTATTTATATTAGAATTATGGAGTATTTGTAGTTGATAATTAAGATTAAAGTTGAGGAAACTATTTGAACATTTTTATTTTATTTATGAAATATACTTCTAAAGGAGATTATTGTTATTAATTAAATTACAATTGATTGACATAATTTGAATGCATTATACTACTAAATTTTTATTTGGATGAATTGATTTTTGAAAAATTCTAAAACTTCCAAGTTATAGGGGAGACTCTGCCAGATTTTCGACAGCAAATACTTGTATCATATATATAACTTCATCGTTGAAGTATTTTAAATTAAGTTAGAATTTATTTCTACCTTATTTTGATAATGACATCTTTTATTGTTTTATAGATACCTACACAATTACAAGGTTGGGAGTGTGGATACTATGTTATGAAGTTTATGAGAGAAGTAATCACATAATAAGAGTTGATCATTCTTGAAAATGTAAGTCAAAAGCTTTAAAATTAAGTTAATATAATGTTACTTACTTATATATTGCTTTCATATCTTGTGTAGTATTTTATTGGAGCAAGATATTCACATTTTACTATGGAGCAAATAGAAGATTTAGTTGAAGAGTGATCAGAATATATTATTGACTATTTGTGATAGGAAGTTAGATTTCAATGTCAGAAAAATAATAATAGTTTCATTTGTTAGGCTTGTTAGAAATTAAACTAGGTTAGTTAGGAAATTAAAATTATTATATCAGTTTCAAATTCTTTTCTTGCATATAAATTTTCATGTTGATATTATTTTTAAATTAGTTTTTTGATATTATGATTTACTATTGTTAAAGAGACATAAAAGGAAAAATTTTAAAAAATCTGATTTTTAAAAAATTAAAGTAATATATAGGAACGCTCATTTGAAGAGCGCGCCTGTTGAGCACCATATACAGGGGTGCTCTTCTAGAGAGCACTCCTATATGGATCATACGGGACCACTCTTTATAAGAGCCCTCTAGTATGGCGGCATACAAGAGCGTTCTTCTAAAGAGCACTCCAATGTGTGATTTTTGCCCTCTCCCTTACGGGAGCGCTTTTCGTAAAACATTCCTATATAGCGTACATACAGAAGCGCTTAAAAAAAGCACTCCCATGTATTTTAGAGCTCTCGATATGGGAACGCTTTTGAGGCGCTCCCTAAGGTAAAAAAAAGCCTTCCTATAAACTTATTTTGCAGTAGTGCATTCATCTTCTACTCAGCAACCACAACAAACCCAATAATTAGGAATGGATTGAAGCACCACAAAAAATTATTAAAATAGCAGCAGAAATTAGAGACTAACTATATTTTTAAAAATAAATTTAATTTTAAAAATATTTTAAAATATAAAGACAGATTTAGAGATTACTCATATACATCTCTAAAAAAAGCATCACAAAATTCATCTAAACTTGTGTCGTTATTCATTAAAATTTTAGTTTTTTGAAAATTCAAATGTTAGAGACAAACAAGTTCAGAGATGAATAAATTTCATCTCTCAACTAGTCATCTCCAAATCTATCTCTAATATTAATTTTATATTTTTTTAATTTGAGATATATTTTCTTATGTATTTAGAGACCAAAATTTGACCATTTCTAATTCCTTCTCTATATTTCTTTAAAATTTTGTAATTTTGTTTATATTAATTTAGAAAAGATTGAAATAAATATATTAGAGATAGAATTATTTTTACATCTCTAATTCAAAGTAGAGCCATATTCAGAGATGGAGTTATATTTTTAATTTTTAACTTTTTGGATTATCAATTTTTTAATACATATTTGAAATATATTAAGATGCAAATTAATTTTAAAAGATGTAGAAAATTTTTTATCATTATTTAGTGAGCTTCCCATTCAACGCAACAACAAAAATTTGATGTTTGTGTTTAAAAATATTTATCTTTAAAATTTATAGTATTTGAAAATGTTTTTTATGTCATTTAAATTTTTCTCTTTTTTTTTCCTCTTTTTCTAAATTCAACCATTCTCATATTCTAAATTCCTATTTAGTATTTATTAATTTATTCTATAATCACAATTGATTGAATTTTTTGTCTCTTTTGTTTTATTCATATTTTCCTTCAGTACTTTTATAATGTTTAATAAATTTTTATCAAATAACAAAATTGTCTTGAAAGAAGTCACTAATAATATTTTATAACAATACGAGCATGCTTGAGGAATAATTTATATATAATCTGATACCAATATGTCACGACCCAAAATTTAAGGTGAGATCAACATGAAATACATGCACAAACTACTTCCCTTAAGCTTTAACTCAAGAAATGCCTAATGCAACCATAAATGTATCTATCATGTAGAGCAATTTTTTTTTAATGATGACAAAGGTCATAATTTCAACAGCACATCCTTTGAAAATAGGGCATCCTAAAAATTTTACAAAAAAACATTTTTCACACAATATAACAACAAGGAGCTTCACTCTTATTAGCAAACCCACAATATAAGTAACCAAATAATGATTCTAACTATAGTCTATATGGAGCACTTAAAACATTATTTAAAAAAATTATAATATATAAATTACAACCTTACATGGAAAAAATAGAAATGAACCAAAATGGTATCTTAACTTCAATCCAGTAGAAAAATCCCTTCAATGATCTGATGGAGGTACAAGGTCAGTTATGCTATTTAAGATAAAAAATATTTAATTATATGTAAATTATTCCTCAGGCATGTTTGTGAATTTTTTCTCATATTGATTTACATGTAATTAGTTATTGTTTTCATGTAATTATAGAGGCACTGACAATGGGCGCTCTTTATATTTGATTTACATGTAATTGTCACACTAATAGATGAGGATTCAATAATTTTACATGAAGAACAAGTAAATTTTCAATCAAAAACATGTAAATGTTTAGGGGGATTATAAACAACAAAAATATGAGAGAGAAAAACAACAACAATAATTTCTTTAGTTTAGGTCCGTCATTGTTCCAAGTACAAACCAAATGATAAATAAAGACTATAAGGCATTTCTAATTAAAAAATATGACATGGGGGTAAGAGCAACATCAAGTCCTTATTCGACTACATCCTACCCTATACAAAAAACAAATAAAGGAACAGTCGCAATAAGTTTCCTCTTGTTTAAGTATTATATATTATATAGCAAGCCATATTAACTTATAAATGATGCATATTCAACAATATAACATGGAGAACAACTAAATTGTCCCTAAAAAACAACTGTGAAGAGGGAAAATGAACAACAAAAATTTCAATGAGACAACAACAATTCCATTAGATTTAGTTTATCTTTTTGTCAAGTACAATCAAAATGATAAATAAAAATTATAGGGCACACCATATGAAAAAACATACCATGAGGGTAAGAATAACATCATGTCTATATTACATTGCATCCTACCCTATACCAAAAAAAAGGATATAATGCATTGCAAAAGGGAAAGACAATAAAAACAAGGGCATACAAGCCAACTAGGTATTTAAGTTACCTTTGCTAGGTGTCCTATTTGGCAAAAGATGATCTTCCCATAAATATATTTCAAAATATAATCACATTTTCATTCAATCTTTTAGGAAAATTCCTTGATCAGCATTTCCTTGTAGCTCGCTTGAGTTATGATATGTGTGCAAGAGCTTCTTGACTTAAACTTATTTATTTTCGCCTCTTCAGACAAAACCTTATGCTTTGATGCATCTAAAACATTAATGCCTGAAATGAAAATTAGTGGACATAATAAGTAGGTCATTCAAGCAATTAATACACAATAGAAAAATATCATTTTGGGCACACAAATGAAAAGATAGATGTAAATCTTATAAACAATATGAGAACATTCATGATAACATAAGAACATTAATGCCAACTTAAGATTCAACAGGCTCATTTTGAGAGTGTACCATGCTTAAAGTTTACAGATACCTCTTACTTGACATGGCTAAAATACTCATACCTTAATTTAATCACAAAAGAAGAAAAATAGTGATGTGAATAACATACCCCTAAAACTATCAAATTGAGTGCCTTGTGGAAACCAAAAATATTTCCTTCACTATCAAATGTAGCCTACCAGTTATCTGGCCTAAGTATTCTATCTATGTTTACTTGCTCCACGCAGATTAAATAAGTGATTTTATATATCAGCTAAAAAAATACAGTATTAATAATAATAGATAAAGAAGAATAAAATTTAGTTTCTATAAAAAACAACAATCCCCTGTATCTAGATCAAAAGATGCAATGAATTCTCCTTCAGATGACCAATACTTGTATATAAAACTAAGAAGAAGCTACAATCTGCAATAGCATTAATTTATGAAATAGGGTGCAACAAAGAAGCTAAAACCAGTTCTCAATATCCCAAGTTTTAATACAACTTATTGTTATAACCTTACATATGAAAGTAAGAGCTTTTTCAAAAGCTGGAAATATAAGATATTAAAATGCTACTGAACACTTAAAACTTGTAAATAGAGATAACAAAGTTGCTTAATCCCTTTGCATATTAGACACAATTCTTCCTTTTTAAGAAGGGTATGTAAAGAGTACTAAATAGAAACCATAAAAATACATGTAGATTCTTAATGTTAGAGGTTTTAAATTTTTAAAGCCAAATATATGCATTGAACTAGCATTGCTTTTGTAGTATTTATTTAGAGGCATTCATGAAAGTTTCATGATAATGTTTGTCATCCACTCTTTCCTGACACTATTTCATACATAAAGTAAAAAAAGTCCAAATAAAGAATAATTAAATGAACGTAAACCTATTTTTAAACCTGATAATTGAGGGTGGATTCAAGGAGAAGAGACCCAATATTCAAGGAAAGGAGCAAGATGAAGAACATTTGATTTCAAGAGAATCAAGAAGATAGGCACCACTTTTCAGTCATTCTTAACCTTGTCTGACCAAGTCCTCACTTACATTGTTGATTGCTCCTCCATCGACATTATCTGTTGTCACATCCTAAATTCCTTATTCTTACATTAATTCTAATTAAGGGGTGAATTTGAAAATTAATATAAGATTAGGGTTTTGGATGTTGGAATGTTATTTTGACTCTTTGAAATGTTGTATGGATAGATTGGATGAAAGAATGATATTGCGAAGTAGAGCATGTGAGCATGGTGAAAAGTTTCCTTATTGTGCCATGCGCCGCGGCTAGTACTGGATGCACCGTGGCATATAGTACAGAATTCTGGTAGATAAAGACATGTATTAGCTTGTGGAGGCAGAGGGAAAAGTGAGAGAAATGCACAGGAGAAGGAGAAGGACCTCTGCTAAGGGTTCCTATCTCAAGAGCAAGGACAATGTTTCTAACCTGTTGCTTATCAAGTAAGTCTTGTACTGCCTTGACCTCTAATTCTACCATATTTTTTGAAACGGAAAGAGTAGAATGAAACAAAAAGAGCAAGAAACGAGCTGAAACGGAAGGCACACATAATGGAGCATCATAAACTCTTTGTAACCGCCCCTTAACTTCTGTAACTCCCCTTTAAATTTGTATGGTTCAGTTTCACGAATTCTAGGACTATAAATAGGACCTGGAGACTTGTGAAAGAGGCAGACTTTAGAGAATAAGAATTGCTTGTTGTTCATTCAGTTTCTGTGCCATTTTGGTATCAGAGCTGGTCCAGAGAGCGAGAGAGTGAGTTAAAGTTGAGAAAGTACGCCGGAAAGAAGAGAGATTCAGAGGAGGAGTCTCTGACATCTTCGCGTTTTACAAACCAGGCATTTTCTCAGAAAACTAACATCACCATCGTGCTCAGGAGGTCCAAAAACGTGGAACAAGAGGTTCCCCGTCACCGGAAAAAGCCGCACGCGCCACCACGCGCTACCGTCGGAAGACCACGCGCCTCGCCGCCGGTCCACGCGCCTTCACGTGCCATCCGAAGGTTGAAGATGCTGACGTCAGCTGCCACATCATCGTTCTGACCGGTCAACGACAGGTCAGCCTAGTAGTTTGCTGCCACGTGTCATAGTCGCCCCGTCACTGTGCCCAGTCAGCCAACTTTTCAGGAATTACATTTCGCCCCAAATCTTTCAGTAATTCCAAATTTACCCCTATTTTTTTATGAAATTTCATATTGACCCCTAAATTTTTCAGAAATTTCATTTTAACCCCTAAACTTTCATAAAATTACACTTTTGCCCCTTGATTTTACCAGAATTCCAGTTTAATCCCTATATTTTTCATAAATTTCAATTTGACCCATCATTCTTTTAAGAATCGCTATTTTACCCCCTAGACAGTCCAAAATCCCCATTTTACGCCCTTAGCCTTTTGAAAAAAAAATCTCACTTTACCCCTATATCCTTCAACGTTTCCAATCGCACCCCAATCTTTATCCCTAGCCTTGACACTTATCCAAAATGCCTCCAAGACGTAGACATGTGCAAGAGGTTGAGATGGAAGAGTTGAGACGTAGGATATGAGAATTGAAAGCCACTGTGGAATTGCAGCAAACTTTGTTAAACAACAACAGAGAAAACTTAGAGAGAGATTCAGGAAGCAGTAGTTCGTCATCTACTGAAAACCGCCGCCGCCCACGACAACAACAATTCCGCCCTAATGACATCAAGGTTGACATTCATGAATTCATGGGAAGGCTCCAGCCAGACGAGTTTGTAGATTGGCTGCAAACTGTTGAACGAGTATTTGAATGCAAGGAGATTCCAGATGCGCAGAAAGTCAAAATTGTCGCTCTCAAACTCAAGAAACATGCTTCTATTTGGTGGGAAAACCTCAGACGGAAGCGAGAACGTGAGGGAATGCGCAAGATTGAAACCTGGGAGAAAATAAAACGCCAACTCACCAGGAAATTTTTACCAGATCATTACCACCAGGATAATTTTATCCAGTTGCAAAATCTTTGACAGAGATCTTTATCTGTAGAAGAATATACTAGAGAGTTTGAACAACTCATGATGAAGTGTGATATTCAGGAGAAGGAGGAGCAAACAATAGCCCGGTACCTTGCAGGCTTAAACACATATATCAGTCGTCCAGTCTAGCTTCAACAATATTGGACCTTGGATGATGTCATTCGTCTAGCCGTGTGTGTTGAGAAGCAGATGCCCAAGATATCCACTTTCCAACCTTCATCCTCTAGGAGTTATCCAGAAGGCCGTAAAGCAGAATTTTAGCAGACCAACTCCTCAAGCAAGCCACAACCTACTGCTATGCACAAACCACCAACCAATGTTGCCAAGGAATCTGGTTCTAAAGCAATCAAATGCTTTAAATGCCAAGGATTTGGCCACATTGCTGCGGACTGTCCTACACGAAGGGTTGTCACCATTTGAGAAGGATCAGGGTATGAAGCACTTAAAGAAGATGAGGAGGACGATGAGTTCTACGGCACTGATCCCGTATATGACGAGGAGGTCACACCTGCTGATCAAGGAGAAGCATTGGTGCTTAGACGAAGTCTACATACAACAATAGTCAAAGAAGAACCTTGGCTACGATGCAACATTTTTCACACTCGTTGCACGGCCCAAGGAAAAGTTTGTAATGTTATCATTGACAGTGGAAGTTGTGAAAATATAGTATCTGACTACATGGTGGAGAAATTGAAGTTGCCAACACAAGATCATCCGCAACCTTACAAGCTTCACTAGCTCAACAAAGGGAATGAGGTAAAAGTTTCTAAACAATGCCTTGTGACCTTTTGTATTGGGAATCGATATTGTGATGAAGTTTTATATGATGTTGTTCCCATGGATGCATGCCACCTTCTCTTGGGGAGGCCATGGTAATATGACCGACATGCTATGCATAACGGACGAGCGAACACTTATTCTTTTACGAAAGATGGTGTCAAGTTTACACTAGCGCCTCTACCACCCAATGAGATTAGCCAATCTTCAAGGGAATCTAGTGTTTCTAAGCCGTTAGTGTCTTTGTTGACTAAGGAGGAATTCAAGGTGTCAAAATCCAAAGCCCAAATGATGAGCATTATTCTGGTGCTTGAGGTGAACAATAAGATGGCCAATCCACCTGGAGTCATTCCGTTATTGTCAGAATTTTCATATGTAATATCCGATGAGATACCACCAAGGTTTCCTCCAATGCGAGACATACAGCATGCCATTGACTTTGTTCCAGGAGCAGTCATTCTTAATAAGCCTGCTTATAGGATGAGTCCCCAGGAACATGCCGAAGTCCAACGGCAAGTTGAAGAGTTGTTGAAGAAAGGATTAGTTCGAGAAAGTATCAGCCCTTGTGCTGTACCTGTTCTTCTAGTACCTAAGAAGGATGGAAGTTGGAGAATGTGCATTGATTGTCAAGCCGTCAACAAGATCATTATTAAGTATCGGTTTCCGATACCTCGGCTTGATGATATGTTGGACCAATTGCATGGTGCCACTACTTTCTCCAAAATTAACCTTCGAAGTGGGTACCATCAAATCAGAATTCGGCCAGGAGATGAGTGGAAGACCGCTTTCAAGACCAGAGATAGTTTGTACGAGTGGAATGTGATGCCTTTTGGATTAACAAATGCCCTTAGCACATTTATGCGCCTGATGAATCAGGTATTGAGACCCTTCATTGGTAAATTTATTGTTGTGTACTTTGACGATATTCTTATTTACAATAAGAATCAAGAGGAGCATTTAGATCACTTGTGGCAAGTTTTGCAAGCCTTGCGTGAGCAGAAGCTTTATGCAAATCTCAAGAAGTGCACCTTCCTCACCAACGAAGTTGTGTTCTTGGGTTACATCATTATCGCGGAAGGTGTTCGCGTTGATCCATGCAAAGTTGCAGCCATTGACAGCTGGCCAATTCTAAAATCTATCCAGGAGGTTCGAAGCTTCCACGGATTAGCTTCTTTCTACAGAAGGTTCATCCGTAATTTTAGCTCAATTGCTGCACCACTTACAACTGCACCAAAGGAGAGAAGTTTCAATGGACAGAGCAAGCTCAGAAAAGCTTTGAGGAGCTTAAGAAGAAGTTGACCAAAGCTCCAGTCCTAGCTCTTCCTAATTTTGACCAAGTATTTGAAGTTAGCTGTGATGCTTCTAACACCGATATTGGTGCTGTCTTAAGCCAGGAGGGCCATCCCATTGCCTTTTTTAGTGAGAAGCTCAATGATGCCAAGCTCAGATATTCTACCTATGATAAGGAATTCTATGCCATTGTCCGAGCTCTTCAATATTGGAGTCATTATCTCCTAAATAAAGAGTTCATACTTTTTTCGGATCATGAGGCTCTCAAGTATTTGAATTCCCAACAGAAGATCAGCCGCAGACATGCTCGTTGGAGTGAACTCTTAGAATCTTATCCATTCCTTATCAAACATAAGGCTAGAACTCTGAACTCCGTAGCTGATGCCCTTAGTCATCGCCATGTGCTACTTACAATATTGCAAACCAAGGTTGTTGGATTTGACCTTATTAAAGAGTTGTATCAGGATGATCCTGATTTCCAAGGAGTGTGGGAAGCAACCGTAAATTAACCTTTCCACCAGTTTTACAGGCATGATGGTTTTTTATTTCGAGGTAAAACCCTCTGTATTCCACAGGGTTCCTTAAGAGAAGCTATAATTTGGGAAGCACATGACAATGGATTAGCTGGACATTTTGGACGGGATAAAACAGTTGATCTGGTGAAGGAGAACTTTTACGGCCTCGTCTTGAACGGGATGTCAACAGGCATATACAAAGATGCAGAATTTGTCACTTGGCTAAATCCAAGGGTCAGAATACCAGACTATACATGCCTCTACCAATTCCAGAAGCACCGTGGGAAGATGTAACCATGGATTTTGTTCTAGGTTTACCACGGACTCAAAGGCAAAAAGATTCTATCATGGTAGTTGTGGATCGTTTCTAAAAAATGACCCATTTTATCCCATGCCAGAAGACAAATGATGCTGTTCAAGTAGCAGACTTGTACTTTAAGGAGATTGTGCGTCTTCATGGCATTCCTAAAACTATCACTTCTGACCGTGATGTGAAGTTTCTTAGCCACTTTTGGCGAACGCTATGGAAGAAGATAGGAACTAAGCTCCAATTTAGCAGCGCTAGTCATCCCCAAACAGATGGTCAAACTGAAGCTATAAATAGAATTCTTAGTAATCTTCTTCGTAGTTTCGTGGGGAAGAATTTGAAGCAGTGGGATCTTATTCTTGCTCAAGTTGAGTTTGCTTATAATAACTCTGTCAATCAAGCAACTGGGAAGTGTCCGTTTGAAGTTGTTTATGGCACTCGTCCCCTTAGTCCACTAGACTTGAGCCCTTCAATTGATAAGCAGCAATACAGCTTTGATGCTGACCAAAGGGCTAAGGAAATTAAGAAGTTACATGAGCAAGTCCACGAGCGAATCCAAAAGCAGAATTTGAGATACAAAGCTCAACATGACAAGCATTGAAGACAGCAGACTTTTAAGATAGGAGATTTGGTTTGGATATATCTACGAAAGGAACGATTTCCTAAACAGCCAAACACCAAGTTGTCTCCAAGAGCTGATAGTCCATTCAAGATAGTGCAAAGGATCAACAACAATGCTTACAAGGTGGAATTACCTAGTTCTTATGGTGTATCTGCAACCTTAAATGTCGCTGATTTATCTCCATACGTTGATGAAGATGATGAATTTGACTCGAGGGCGAGTTCTTCCCAACCCGAGGAGGATGAAACGGAAAGAGCAGAATGAAATAGAAAGAGCAAGAAACGAGCTGAAACGAAAGGCACACACAATGGAGCATCATAAACTCTTTGTAACCGCCCCTTAACTTCTGTAACTCCCCTTTAAATTTGTATAGTTCAGTTTCACAAATTCTAGGACTATAAATAGGACCTTGAGACTTGTGAAAGAGGCAGACTTTAGAGAATAAGAATTGTTTGTTGTTCATTCGGTTTCTGTGCCATTTTCTCTTAGTTTAAACTATTGAGAAATTAAATTTGAAAGTTTTAAGGAGTTAATTTCTTATCCCTATTATAATAATAAAAAGGTTCTCTATGAGGAAATTAGAATTTTGTGACTAGTTTAGGTTTAAACAATAAAGCTTTGAAGCTGTACGTTCAAATTGGTTGATTTAGAAAGAGGAAAATGGGTAAAATTTGATAATAAGCATGTTAATGCTTGAAATAATATGTAAGTGGTGTTGTAAGTAGGAATGTACTTAAATAAGAGAAATGATAGCATTTAGGTGCTTAATTGCTATAATTGACACTTTTAGTTAATACGATAATTGACTTTAGTTATCAATTTTTATGTAGATTTTCATATGTAACGTGTTAAGTAGCAAACAAGACTTAAGTAAGGGAGTATACAATGGGTAACTCTTTCTTGTGAATAAAAGGATTGAGGTGATCATATAGGTCATTATGTTTATTAACTATCATAACTATATAGAAATAAATGTGATTATGAATTCAGTGTTTGTGAGTTTTCAAAAGTATGGTTTTGCAAATGGTTCTGGCATGTCAAGTGATTTTTTTTCAAAGTTTGTTGAATAACTATCACTTTTTGAACGATATGTGTATATATAAATATGTAATTAATATAGAACTAGTGAAATATATGTGTGAAAAGCATTATCATAGGGGTGGGAGTTTACCCACGGTATGTGTGAACGTATGTGTGTGAAAATGTGAGTGAATAAATCTATATATCGAGTTGGCACCATAGGACATTCGGTATAGCATTATATTCGGGCTGGCACCATAAGACATTTGGTGTAGCATTATATTCGAACTATTACCATGAGACAAATGGGCATTCTGGCAACTCTCTAGTGCTTGTTAAGGTGTAATTAAAAGTCAACAGTACCTCTATCACAAGTATGTCAAATAAGGGAAACTATAGTCTGAAGGTAGGATAAAATACTTTTAGCCAAGTGTTTCTCCCACTAAAAATGTGCTCAAGTCGATATGAGTTTGATCTAATAGAGCCTATGGTTTCGAGTCGGGGAGCCTTGGAGGATTGATGGATAGATGATTATACTAGTGAATGTGATTATGTGAAAATGTTCAGAAAAGGAAAACTATGTTACTATTGATATATAAACTATTATTTTAATTTTGTTTACTTTTATATAGTTATTTATGCTAATGAACATTAAATGAGCTATTTTGATTATTGAGATTTTGATCTCACCTGTAGTTATTCAACATTTTTTAGGTCTTGACGTTAGTGATTTTAAAGGGAAAGATTTGAGCTGAGATTAAAGATTTCTCAACTAAGCCTATTGTAAGAATTGGTGTAATACTTAAAGATATAAGTTATGGCTGTACATATAAGTTGCCATATGAATTGGTACATGTGCATAGTTTTGTGAATGTTTGTGTGTATGGGTGATTTTCATATCCTAGCCCAGTGTGGCGTAATTAAGTTTGTTTATTGTAAGATAATGTGGGGTAGTATATCAATAGGTGTGTATGTGAAGAAAAGTATGTTGTGAGAAATGTGAAAGTTTGGCCAATTGTGTGAAATGTTAATGTTATGCCTAAGAATGTGTAAAAAGAATAGTTTATAGGTAAATGTGTGCTTATATGTAATATTATATATATGATTATTCAATCAGTTGTAATTTGTCCATTTAGATGTGGGTAAAGCCCAGGAATGGCCAAATGACTTGTGATTTTAAATGGTAATGCTCAAGCGATGAATTTTGACTTAAAATGATCAAAATACACTTAAGTGTTTAACTTTTGAATGAGATATTACATTTTAATGAAATCAGTGTCATTGGTTAGATTTTAAAATAAGTTTCATGTGGACACTTGAATTACCCCAATCGGATAAATGACACATGTTCATTCGCATCAAAAACTGCTATTTGATAGTAGAATTTGATGCATGTGATGCATGGCACAAAACATGAGCCAGTGCCTCTATGTCACATGCAATAATGCATGTGGCACAAGCCACGGTGCATGGCCCACATTTTGGTTAAGTTTTGTTGTTTCGTATTAACTTCTTGGAAAGCTATTTTGCACATACCTTGAGTGCTTCTGCTATGTATGGTTTTTATAACTTAAATAGCTTTATAAATGGTTTTCAAATGCTTTATATTGAGATCTCAACCCTTTAAAGAAAATGGTTTTATATTGTATAGTAGATTATGTGAAAGGTTGAATGGTAATGTTAGTAAAGCCATTAGATCTGTCATGGTTGCTCGATCATCGCTTGGTCTCCCTGGTTCTTTGATTGTCTGGTTTTCTAATGGAGTTGTCTTTCTCAAAACTTGCCTCACAACTTACTGATACCTTAGATGGTTGTTGCTACTCCATCAAGTCCGCCCCTCACTGCTGATCATTGCATAGCATGTCGAACTCTTATGTTTCTTTGAATCGTGTGAAGAAAGAAAGGAAAAAAGTTAAGTTTTCTTTTTCGAACTTCTTTATTTAAGATTACATTTTGGCCATATGATAAAATTGTTAAATGAATAAAAGATTTAACTTGGTCCTTCAAGTACATTTAGCCTCTGGAACTAATTTTGATTCTAACCAGATTTTTTTCATCAATTTTCCCTTGTTTATGAACGCTTCTATGCGTTAATTGCCAGCCAAGAAAAAAGAAGTTGAGCCGTTTTGAAAATCTGGCAGCTTTTGATTTGTTCTTTCTTTTAAAATAACGTTTTTCGCAGAGAAGAGAAGACAGAAAGGGAAAAAGGAAAAACGCTGCAAATTGGTTGGAATATAGGTTCACATTTTCGAGTTCTGCCAAGTTTATTTTTTATTAAAATATTCTTCATTATTCTAAGAATAAATTTTTTTCATTAATCCAAAGTATCATTCTATGTTTCATTCTCTTATTTTCATGGAAAAATATTATATTTTTTGTATTTTTCTAATTATATATATGTATATATGTTCAGACAAAAAAATTATATATATGCGCAAGTTATCTTTCTACGCCAACACATTGAAACGCCAAGAAAAAAAACACGGAGAACAAAATCAACAAATTTAACGAGCTTTGCTCTGAAAATTCAAACCAATCACACAAATGGGTTGTTTTTAACTTCACATCCTCGCCACTGCAACTAAAACAGCAACTCCAAGAGACACAAACGTTGCTCCTCGAATGCTTTTTAAACTGATTGCATTGGAGCTGTGCTTCGCTGTCCTGACCTGATCATCATCTTCGGAAGATGAGGCTTTTGGGGCTTCAGCAATTGCAGGCGCCGGCGCCGGTGGCTTAGGCTGAAAGAAGTCCAAAGGCAGAAGCACCTTGTCCACTTGATATATGGCAAGTTGCTTATCAGAGTACAAGACGCCTGTGACTGTGGTATTAACCACACCCGTTGAAATATTCACACTGTTTCCATATGCTGTGACGTTAAATTGCAGTCTGGTGGGGTTATCTCCGGCCAATGTGCGAACTGGGTTGGTCAAAGAATCAAAATTTGAACTCGAAACGTAATTGGGGAGGACGTGGAACTGTAAAAGTTTGATCTTTTGATTGTCATCTAATGAATTGAGGAACCCTGCTTTGAGCTGTGAAAAAGCAGAGTCAGCTGGTGCAAAAATGGTCAAGCCGCCAGATTTGGTGGTTATGAGTTGGGAATTGATTTGGTTGATCAGTTGAGTGGTTTTGAGGAGGCGGATCAAGACGCTAAATGAATTGCCCTTTCTCAAAATTCTGATGATGTCGTCAGTAGAAGAATCAGAAGAATCTGAAGGTGACTGTGGTAATGTAGGCACAGATGGCGATGGTGATGCAGGTTTTGCTGAGGATTTAGGTGATGCAGCGGGTGCTTGGGCTAAAGTGGTGGTTGAATAGGAGGAAATAAGCAGGAAGAGTAAGAAGGAGAAAGAAGCTTGCTTTATCTTCATGAAGGCAAGTGAAAGCTGTGTTTCCGAAAGAATGAGAACAATTATTATTCTCACTATTGTTATTGTTATCCAGATTTGTGATTGAAATTCGACGTGAGGCAGAGAAAGGAGGAGAGTGGTTTTATAGTGAGTGAATGATAGGTAGGTGAAAGGTCTAGCTATGAAATCAAGGTGTGTGGTCGGGTTATGTGAGGATGTATCTTATTATCTGTCATGGAGATTAAGTTGGCGCATCAGGAAGATAGAAAGTAATTGCGATTTCTGGAGGAGATGGATATGGCTGCTGTTTTGCTTGGAAATGCAGAGAAAACTGAGTGAGAACTCGATTGGGTGTGAGCTGATGAAAATGCCTCTTGATTTGATGATACAAGGTTGCTTTCATTAAATACTAAATTCATTGTTACTGAGGTCTGAGGCACTCAACTGAAAGCCAAATCCGCATAAAATGGAGCTAAGAATTTACTAATGTCAACTAAAATTGGGACCGTTTGTTGTTTGAATTCGGAACCCTGATTTGATGTTGCGTTTTCACACCTTCCTCCAAGTGTAAGTTTCAACTTTTGATTAAAAAAACAAATAGGAGCCGTGACTTGATGTTGTGTTTCCACACATTCCTTTAACTGTAAGTTTCAACTTATGTTTGTCCCAAAAAAAAAAAAGTTTCAACTTATGATAAAAATAAAGTGTAAGTTTAAACTTTTAACCATGGATCTAGAGCAACTTTCTAATTTCATTGGCCCTGCAAATACGAGGGCCTCCTTCCTGGTTCTCTCTCTTTATCCCCCATTTCTAAAATGCATAATTTTTTTTCAAATTTTTAGGGAGTTGCATATAATTTCATTATCTTTAAATATTTAAAATTAACTCTCTTAATATTTAAGTTTATTTTTCAAAGCCCGTACCATTAATTAACTCTCATATGTTATTAATATAATTTGTTAGATTAATCAAATATACATGGCATATGACATGGAATTTTATTAATTTTTTAACACTATTTGAGAAAAGGCAAAACTATAACTTTTTATTTGTAACATATATGATGATACTTTTCCAAGTTCAACTACATTGTTCTTGTAATTCACTGTTAACATAATTTAAGAGAAAATTATAAATTTATTTTTCTTTACCAATTAAAATAATATTTTATATTAAATGATTGAAAATAAAAATATCTAAAAGTTATCATTGATAAAAATTATATAAATAAAAATTTATCCTCTGATAAAAAAATTACGCAAAAAAATGGATAAAACTAATACAAAAGTAAATATTTAAAAATAATATAATTTTTATATATTTATTACTTGCTTACATAAAATGCCACATAAGCTTTTATGTAACTTTTCTTAATATAATATGACAAACTTTGTTAATAACATAATAGAGTAATCAGCGATAGGAGCTTAGAAAAATAAAATTAAAAATTAAAAAAATTAATTCTAAATATTTAAAGGTGGTGAATTTGATATGTAATTGCTTCCAAATTTAAAAGGATTTCATGCATTTTAACTTTTTTTTTTTACACTAACTCCTAGTTCATTTTTTCTCTATTTACATCTTCCTAAGCACAAAAGTCCTAAGCCATAACAATCAGTAAACATTCATCTCTAGCTTACGAAATCAACTCTCGGTGAAGGGACCCAAAAAAGCGAGGGTGGGCCTTAGCCTTTATGAAACAATCCAATTGTGCATCGTTCTTCTGGAGAGACCAACATTGAGGTCTGGATGGGCTTGCCTCAAGGCTCTGGTTGCTCCTTTTTGAGTGTGATATGCAAGTCTCGTCGGGTTTACAAAAATACTCAAAAGGCATGTTTCCTCTATTATTTGATCTTGCTGTTGCTCCTAGTCTGACAAGAGCGGGTAGGTCAAAATATATTGTTGCAAGTTTATATATACTTTTATTGTTCTCTCTCTAAAATGCATCGTATATCCATATATTATTAGTTATTACTTATTACCGAGGATGATAAATCTAGCATGAATAAATTTGGGATGCGTGAGTACACCAACTACCGACCAAAAACAAAAACAAAAAACAAAAAACAAAAATAGAGATCATGCCCTTACAGATAGATTTATAACACACGGGGAAGGCTGTTGCGTTCCTTCCCTTGTTCATTGATAATATGGTGGGGACCTAAAGCTTTTGAGCAAATTTGTTTCTAAATAAGAATAAAAAATCAAAAAAAAAATTAAGGATAAAATAGTGTAATATTAGATTTTTTATAATCACCCTAATTATTATTATACAAAATAATATATATTACCAAAAATCTAATATTGCTCTATGTTAAAGGAACTCTGCAAAGCTTTCTTTCTAGCAAAGCCATTTCAACATTTACTGATACAATTAAAAGACTTTACCTCCTCCTTTTACTTTTTCTTTAAACAACTTGCTTATGTACAGGGACTCTTATAGATATTATGTATTGGATGGAATGTCATAATCCTGCAACAAGGTATAGTAAATGGAAACATCTTCAAATAGAATGTCCATAACTTTGGTTGGTTCTGACCTTATAACTGATGGAGAGAACTACGAATGTCCATCTTAATTGCCCTTGAGAAGTTCTTTGATCGCAAGAGTACACAATATTCCTCAAATACACAAAGCAGAAACAGGAATGCTCACCACAAATTGACTTTGATTCACAAAAGAAGACAAGAAGGGATGTGGACAAAACGAAATTACTTTGGAAGAACTACAAAAGATATTTCTGAATCAAGTTCCCCTGTCACGACCAAAATGCTACTGCAGCAACTGCAATAATCACCAACATACCGCTCCTCTGCCTCAAACTCAGAGCAGCAGAGTCGTCAGCTGCAGGAGCAGGACCCTCTGTAGATTTCTTCTTAGAAGTCTCGGCCTTGGCTGGAGCAGATGCCGGTGGCGGAGGCTTGGGAAGGAAGAAGTCTCGAGGAAGAAGCACCTGGTCCAGCTGATAAACAGCAAGCTGATTATCAGAATACACAGTGCCACCCACAGTTGTGTTGACAATGCCCGTTGTCATGTTCACTTGGTTTCCAGAACTCGTGACGTTCAATGCCAGCCTTTCAGGATCATCACCGGCTTGTGTTCTCACCGGGTTGCTCAGGGTATCAAAATTGGAGACGGCAACAAATGTGGGCAACATGTGAAATTGAATGAGCTCGTTCTTTTGCTGGTCATTGAGGGAATTGAGGAACCCGGGTTTGAGACTAGCAAAGGCATTGTCGGTGGGTGCAAAGAAGGTCATGCCATTGTTGGAGTTCAAGAGCTGGGAGTTTATCTGAGTATAGACCTGGGTGGTCTTGAGGAGACGAATGAGAGTGGTGAACCCTCCAGCCTTCTTAAGGACCCTGATGACATCGGTGGGGGCAGACAAGGGCGAAGGCGCGGTGGCCGGCGACTGAGCTGAAGTAGTGGAGACAGAGTGGCAGAGGACAAGGAAAAGAAGCTTCACGATCACCATATCTTGCGTTGGGGAAACCGGAGGCAGGGTCCTTGAAGGGAGAGAAGTGGAAGGAGCGAATTTATGGAGGGATGAAAGGGGATTGTGTGAAGATTAGGTGAAAATGAAATGGTGATCAGAACAGATTGTGAATGAATGGCAGCTGAATATTGCTTGAGAGGGAAGGAAGAGAGGAAAATCAGAGAGCAAAAAAATAAATAAATAAATAAGGGACTGATTGCGTAGGATTTACAAGTAACTGTATAGAAATAGAGAAAATCAATTAGTTGGATGCCCCCGTCTCAAGGAACAAGCCCTTTGTCTGCTGTGAGCAAGTTCCATGATCATTATCTGTGAGTTGGCTTCTCACCCACGACGCCTTCCCACTTCCTCTCAATATTGCCTCTGCAATTTTGCAGAAACACAACGCACAAGGCTTCAGTGCGGAAAGAGCATCTCGCTTTGGTTTTTCTACTTTGACCTCCCATGCTACTCGTACTCTACTTCATCAATCATTACCTTAAAACGAGTTTAGGGCTTTAATTTTTTAACTGAAATATCGTCACTTTAATTCATCATCAAATCTAGGTGACTAAAATTTAATTTCAATCATTACATTTTATTCTTTCATAACAATTTTTATATAAAAAAATCACAAGTAACTGCTTTCACGAATAATCTATTCTTCCATTCATTAGAAAGTCAGTAATAATATGCTTAAAACAAACTTTTCTTGCATGACAACCTATTAAGGGTATAAGAACACATTCATGATTGATATGAACAGTTAGTATCTAAATTGAGAATGAAATATATAATTATTATAATTATCATCATCGTTGGCATTTGATCCTCTTCCATAATAATACACGCACAGCCACGATACAAGAAAGCGATCAATAGATCCCCGCTGAATATACCATATCCGACGTGCATTCTCTGAATTTGGTATCTATCTAGGAATTTTTCTGAAGTTAGTTGAAAGAATAAAAAAGAGAGCTTTTACAAATTAAACAAAAAATGTGAAAAAAGAAGGAAAAACGACAACATCACAAAAACAAAATCGAAGGATCCAATCTCTACCGTAAACATTCTTCTTTCTCTCGTTTTCATAAGCTCTCGCACGCCTCTCTCTTCTTTCCTAGATTCTTCCATTATGGATGAGACTCTTGTTTCTCATTATTGCGCTGCACTATTCCTGTAGGATATGAATCTGATGCTCAATTGAGCCTGTAGCAGTTAGGAATTACAGTTCAAGTCGAAGATGGATAGGCTGGCTGTTTCCCACAGACAGGCGATCAAGACTTGCATCTTCCGTACTTGCTGAAGATCACTAAATGCTACAATTGGAAGTTCCAAGTATGAATTACTTGAAACGCCAACTAAAAACCTGCAGCATGCTTTGATGTTTTGTAGAGTAAGAAGCAAGCAAGAATGTCTAAATATGAGTGGAAGATGCAAAAGTAGTTCTGCATGGCTGCAAGCTTCATTCTTGGCCTCATGACCCACAGGAATTAACTAAACATCCTCCTTTTGAAGGCTACTAAGCCTCTGCTGCACATCTGGTAAAATCCATTCTTCTCTAATCGGTAGTTTCTTACCCACTGCCGGCAGGCTAGCAGGTAAAAAGCTAGAAGTGTACGACCAACATTTTTTTTACAGATACTGGGCAGGAGAAAGTAAAACATGGCATCAGAGAAGAAAATCAACCTTTCTAAAAAGTAGACGAATCCGGACAACTAAAGCATTGTTTCAAAATCAATCACCTGCAACTCACATAAAAGTATCAATATCTTTCGGGCAGCATTACGAGGTTAAAAATAGCTTGTGAAATGTCGACGTAAAGAGCAGGCATCATAAATAAAACCAGTAATGCATACTGAACAGTCATCTAGTACAACATGACACAGCAACTATTGGAGTACATTTGATTCAACAATGTATGTTGTCACCAAGTGACCAAACCCATATATAGTTTTAATGGGTTTTAGATCTGTCACGGATGGCAGCTTCCACTTTAACTAAACAAGCTTTAAGTCATTCATAAGTATCCTTAGTCACTGAAAAAATGCACCTCACCACATTGGACTTTCAAGGAGCAATAATCAACTGGCGTGTTTCCTCCCCGTCAAGCATCAACGTCCACATTTCACAAGCATGGCATACAAGATTAGGTTCATTATATAATTAGATCCTCGATTGGCATGCATTATTTTACATTTTCAGTTCTTCCCGATTGGCGCTTGCATTCTTTTTTAATGCATCTTCAGCTTTTAGTTTCTCAGGAACATAATCTGTAGAAGCAAGAACACCAGAGAAGGCAATCTGCATCAGTTCATGGCAAACCTTTGAAAAAATGCAACTTAAATAGGGGGGAAAAGAAATCTAACTTTCAGATATTTCAACAAGGAAAGCAAAGCACTTTGATGGCAACAAGAAATTACCTGAAAGAAAGTCGTATCTCCTCTGCTTACTTACAACATCAGCTGCAAAAAGAAAGGATCGTCTTATCAGCAATGGGGTAATACTGAACAGTCTCAATGCACAAACATGCATCACGCATAAAGCAATAGGCTACAATCAATAATTCATAAATAAAACTAATGACTTGCAGTAAATTAAACGATGGTGGACAGATGCATGAGAGAATAGTGACTTCACTCATGAGTCCTGCAGTTCTCCTTTTTGGATAGAAAGTTGAAATCAATATTGCTCAGAGAAAGAAACGCCAATCTATGTAACATATGAAGGACAGAGTGATCCTAAAGTGAAAGCAATGACGGACATGAGAGATATAACAGTTCCTTTGCTTTATTTTGGCAACAGATGAAATTTAATGAATTTATTCTACCTATTACTTGTTTCGTCATCTAGTACAAGTAAGTTAGAATAGATGTTTTCAGAACCAACAGAATGTTTCAAGGTCCACATTATTTGCATTTAATTTTTAACTACGACTGACAATCTAAATCGTTGGTGTTCACACAAGAGATAAGAAAGTTGATGTTGATGGGAAAATCTTTAATTTAAACAATATTTACTTCAATATTGAAGAAGGCGTTTAGAGTTTAGACTATATATGACATTCCATGTTAGTCAAAGTCGAGAGGCATCCTTATGACACGAGACCTCTTAGATGTTGAGTCAAGTGCCCTTGATTTTGACAACATTGCCTGGTGCTTGCAAACAGAAGCGCCTGTGGAACATGCTTGGAACAATGGAAAGAGTGCCAAAGACACTTGCTTTATGACACCTGATGGTATGTACGATGCACTGGAAATGAATAGTGCCTCGCCTCAGTGACTTGGGTCACCTTTAACATCGCTGATCATACCACAACCTGCTTCTTTATAGTGAATTAATTTGATTGCAGACCCTACTATCCGACTTCAATAACCTAACATTTTGAGAGGAAAGCTATATTATCATTAAGGCATCACTTAAACATACTTCGTGTCTTAGTTGTATTTGAGAGTTCAAATCATGAGAAATGACTTAAGAAAGAAGCAGATAGTATGGTTGACATTTTTCCCTCTTGAGTTACAAGGAAATTCCAGAATACCAGCATGAATAAAAATGAGAGAACACAAACAAGTTTATTATAATTAAGACAGGGACAGTCAGATCCCTTGAAACATTTAGAGAAGAAGATTACACAGGTGCTGGTAACCAAGAAATTTCTTTCGACCCTGAACTGAACCAGCATGAGCTTCCCGCGTAAATTCTTCAATGAACTTCACCTGCAACCAACAAGAGATAGGCCTATTAACATGTTGAAGTAGAATAAGAGAACACTAATAAGTACAACATGACACGGCAACTATTAAGTATTAGCTATGATAAAAACTGTTCTTTTACTATTTAACACCGATAATAATCTCGGCAGAAGCTTGGCAAAGGAAAGCATTCCCACTTCAAACACGAATATCGATCTAAAGCTTAACATTAAGACTGAAGACTAAAAAACCGAACTTGATGTAAAAAAAAAAACAGAGAAGAGACATTAAAAGTACCGTAGCTTTGCCGATGACAAAGATGGCTTCCTCAGAAACACGTAACTCGGGATCTTCTGCCTTCATGATTCTCTTGATACGACTCATTGGAAGCCCATTCGTTTTTGCGTTTTCTTTATCTTCAACTTTATAATCGTCATCTTGTTGCTTTCGTTTACCTTTCTTGGGTCTCGTTCCGCCGTCCCGCCCATTTGTGGTGCCATTGTTGTCAATTCCAGGACCTTTACCTCCTTCTAAGAACTCGGTGGTAGGAGACGGAAAGATTGATGCTTTATTATCCTTCGCCTTGCTATTGCCGAGTTTATTCTTCTTCTTCAAGCCCTCTTTTCGAGGTTTACTTGCTTTAGTCGCTGTTTTTGAGCTTTGTCCATTGCCGCTTTCGTTTTCTGCTTTCGACATTTTGGCGGAAGCCATGAGTCCCAGTGGGCAGAGGGCTTCCTACTAGTCGACGGTAAACGCAGCAGCGTGGTTGACACTTGACACATGTATAAAGTTTAATGGAAAAATTAGTACGCCTTTGGGTTTCCGTTGGCCAAAAGTTAATTTATTAAAAATTTATTTAATAAAAATCAGTTATTATAATAAAATTTATATTTAAATATATTTTTAAAAAATCAATTTAATAAACTAAAATTTATTTGAATTATATAATAAAATATATTTTTAAATATATAATTACCAAAAATATATTAATTTTTTTATTTATAATTTTGTTATGAAAATGTTTGATATTAAAAATGTTTAAAATTTTATGTTATTTGATTTTTTATGTTCTATTTAAGTTACAAGGCAGTTTATAATTAGAAAAATTGAATTTCTTATTTTATTTAAAAATACAATTAGATAAAAGTTGTTTATTAAGCATAACTTTAAACAAATGCTCCATAACTAATAATTAACACTACTAAATAGTATTAGTTATTATAAAATTTGGGTTAACTGTTAAAATACAAAATAAATATTAATTTGTACAGGGATGATTGGATCATATAAGAAGTTTGTCTCGCGGTTACAAGAAAAGTGTGGGTCCCAAATATTATTCATTGTGAATTTGTGAATTTCTTTTAAGAGTATAAGAGGCATTAGTTGGATGTACATTTCAAAAGCTCCATATACTCTTGTTAGGTAAATTCACTTTTTGACTTATTTAGATGTGCTTTCATGCAGTTTGGGTTGTTAATTGTTACCCAAACATCTTTGAGCATTTTAAAAGTGCAATAAGACTTGCTGAATGTGAAAAGCTGAGTATTTAAATAGGTCATTAATTTTTTGGAGTCTGACTTATTTTGAAATTAATCCCTTTGATTTGAATAAGGGTAAATCAAGTAGAAATTTCATATAACAGATATATTTATAAATAAATTTTTGTGAAATTCAAAAATGTAAAGCAAGGCTCTTAAAACTTAAATGTAATTTAAAATTAAATTATAAAGACAACAATATTCCTGTCAAACTCACATTATATTAATTATTAAATAATTAACTTATAACTAAGAAATACTTAAGTAAATCAGGCGCATCATGTCATTTGTGATATGTCCAATTAAAATACTTTGAGTAAGTTAAATAAAATGTTGTGTCACATTTTTAAATTGATTTTATTTTTATAACAAAATATTTGTTTGATTTCTTGTCTTTTCTCTCTCTCTACTATCATTAATATCATAATCAATTTATATTTAATATTATCTAAATGTTATTTTTTTATTAAACATACCACGAATAAAGTAATACACCGGTTTATATAAGTATTTTTCCTCATAACTACTTCATTAGTAAATTTCTATTAAACACACATTATATCAATCAAATAATTAACTTATAGTTATTTCATCAGCAATTTACGATTATAATTTTAATTTTTTATAACTATAACTTTACATATCTAATGATTAAACAATAATATATTTTTAATAAAGTTTAATATTAATTATTTATAATTATTTTATCAATAATTTACAACATTATAAAAGGCAAAGACGAACATGTGAGCGTTTGACCAAAAAGATGAGAAATTTGTACATGCTTTTTATATCATCACAGTTTTTTGCCTAAATACATCATTACATTAAATCACATGTGATATAAATGAAGTCACGACAACGTCAGCATCAGAATGACTGATGATCATGGGCTTCGGTATGCAGGCCCTTATTTATATTAGCTAGAACTTGCCATGACAAAAAAAGCCATGGCAAAAAATTCATCTTATTTCCCAACATCGACGCTATCAATAGTCAACAGCTCTTTCATCGACCCCGATTCCAGACTGGCCATGGAATCTGCAGTACCTGCACGAAGGTGAAAACAGAGAAGGAGTTCGGTACCTATCTTCCCCACCCATTACTGGCATAGGAACCCCTCTCTTCACCGGGCTCTCATAGTTTGGCCTGTACGTCTTCCCCAACACCCCTTCCACCATATCTGTGAGGTTCTTAAACTTGAACTGTGTCTCCAGGTGTGCAAAAGCATCACCCCCTGGCAACTCATACTTGTGGACCCTGTTTTCTTCCTCCCCGATTGGTCTCACCACAATGTCCATTTGCAACAATCCCGAAACTGTCACTCTCACACTGTTCGCCTCATCGGTTCTTTCCACAACGACTTCTCTGTCTTCCTCATTAGCCCTCCATTCAGCCACTCCATCGGTGGGAATCGTGATTGCTTCTCCGTCCCAGTGTACCAGGAGAGAATCCACTCTGTCATCCCAGTGCGATACTCTGTTCGCCGCGATTACAAGAGTGTGGGTGTCAAACATGACGGCCAGGGCCTGGACCCATGTGAAGTCGCGAGTCCTTCCTTGGGGTCGAGTTCCAATGAAGTGAGCATTGATTTGAAGGTTGTCATCGGAGACCACTGCGAAGTTTCCTCCTTTGGCTCCATGGAAGTAGAACATGACACCGTCGCCACCAACAAAGCGAGGATCGTAACAGAGCGCACCATACCCATCACAGTTGGCTTTTCTAACTGTCAACCAGAAAGATCTCTATGAGTTCAAATCTCATCATATAATCATTTGTAGCTAGATTCACTTACTATCACGTGACGGACACACGTTGTGAAAGCAGAAACAGGCGAACTTAGTCACTTACACTTGCAAGTGGCTTCGCACTTGCTGCTGCAGTCCAAGAAGCATCCCTTTTCCTTCCTGTTCCTCCTGGGCTTCCTTTCTTTACACTCGGCCGGACACGAAAGGGTCTTGAAGTGACACGATCCCCTTGCTAAGCAGAAAACTCGTTCACGTCCGGACGGCAGAGGAGACAGCATCCTGTAATTTGTTGAGGCAGCATCAAACGGAAACTTCCTCTTGTTATTACCGTTCCCTTGAGGTTGGGCAACGGCGGCTTCCATAGCGACAAGCAAGAGGAAGCAGGCCACAAAAAAGCTCCACTTTCTCGTAGCCATATTGGTTATCTATGCTTGAGTTCAAGTCTTAATTTGCTTCTTATCTCTGCTTTGATGATTCTCTGTAATTTCAATGGCAGATGAGAGAGTGCGATGAGATGTGAAGGACGAGTTGCAAAAGAGAGTGCATTTATAGAGATTTTTGGTGGGAAAATAGGCCCTAGACGTTGGGCCTAAGCTATGCTGGAATCTTTCTTCTTCTAATTAATCCAACACGCGAGAGACAGCTTCATAGACATGGGTTTGTCCTTTTCACACAGAACTGGTGCCTCGAATTCTTCCAAAAGATTGTGATTGCTTGGCTTTTAGGTTAGATAAGCCACTTAATACGAAATTTTAAAGTGACGAGTTAAAGACCCTAAAGGCCTAAATGGAGCAGACCTGCATGTTCTGATTTGGCAAACAAGATATCTCTCTGAGGCCTCTATTAATATATATAATAGACGTATAGAAATATATATTCAAAGACTTGCAGGTGAAGAATAATGGCTCGAATCACAGGACTGACAATGAAGCGGTGTAAAAATATACATACTTTTTGGGCAAGTGGTGCATTTTCAATTACTGGACACTAATTATTAGACGAAGGAGCCACGCATTGCGTGAATATGATACAGTTCTGGTCAGCTTCCGGGTGAATCGTTGCGTTGAGGTCACGGAGAACTTTATGAAATCAAAGTTTGGGTTGCATTGCGGCTTAAGCTTGGGTTAACAGGAAGCCTTTCGATGAGTAATGTGATTCACCCGTCACGCGCTGGATTGCCTCCTGACTGTTTCCTCTGACTGAGTCAACGGTCAACCCCTCACTTGTTGCAGCATCACACGGCCGACGTCGTTGACAAAGCCATTCATTATTTTCTGGGCATGAAAGACCAGGACATTCATTTAGAGATATTAAGCTAATCCCATATATTTCTATGGTCTATGGATATATGAACGTTAAATCTGTAAAACTAGCGGGTTTTATTTTTCTTCCTAATCCAGCATGTTGGCATACACCTGTTATCGAGTTCATATGACCCACGATGATTGAAACCAGTGATGTGTTCATGAACAAGAGGGGCATAAAACATGAAAGACAAAGACTAAGGATTGTTAGAATTGTAGTGCATGCTTGCTCCATGCTTGTTAATTGTTGTTCTCTTTTTCACTCTAAATATGCAGCTTTATTATAATAAATCCCTCATTCTTACCTTCTCCCCCGCCCCTGTATCGACTGAAACTCTTTTTTGGCCAAAACTTTTCCCATCTTATATTGCATCTACCAACTCGGGATGGTGACATGTATTGGTATGTGTTTGATTTTTAATTTAAATATAATAAAAATATATTTGGGAGATTCCAATTATTTGTTGAATTTAACAAAAGCACATCTTAAAAGTGGTTTGAATATGTCAACTAAACATACCCTTAATAATGTAGTGGTGCATTGTAGCTATATTTTAATAAAATAGGAAATCCATGTCATTGAAGCAAAACAGAGGAGACATTAGTATATTCTTTTTTTTTTGGGTAAAAGACATTAGTATATAAATTATAATTTGTTATTTTTGTACACGTTTATTATTACAAAAACAAAAAAAATTAACAACAATAAATATTATATTTTTCACGTATAAAATGTTATCCAGTAAAATCAAATTAAGAATTAAATGGATAGAAAATAATTTAGCTCAATTGCGATTAATTCTACGTCCTAAGTGGGAACGTAGAGGAAAGTGCAAGAGAGACATAGAAAATTGACTCCCATTCGCCGTGTCGTGTCTCCATGTGCACAGCGAGGAGGATATAATTAAAGAATGGAGATACCAATTCGCGCAGGTTGCTTCCTATTACAATCATATTTTTATGCACCGGTGTAGTTTGCAAATGGAAAACAAAATTAAACAATTATAATGTGTTATGCATCGTACACTTAATATAATATGAGAGTCATGCACTATTAAACTAGAATTTCTCATGAACACGCACTCACATAATGCCTAGAGACACAAAAAAAAAAGGAAAAAATGAGTGAATTTTTCCTAACTCCATCCACAAAGGAAATTTTCTAGTTAACTTGTATATATAAGGAGCATCATATTGAATGCCACAAAGCCATTGCTCCAAGACATTGTGAAAATTAGTTTTGCTTTTCTGGGTGCATAATAGAAATTAGATTTTTTTTTTTTTACAAAGAGCACCATAGTTAACTTGAAATTATTATTATTCTAGTATCATGTTTCACTATCACTTTTCTTTCTTTTTTTTATTGTAGATTCAGAATATTTTAGATTCAAAATGTGGAGTTTCAAGTTAGTTATAATGCAAAGTCATAAGTGACCATGCATCTCTTTTAATTTAAAGTTCTTTTTAAAACCACGATTCAATTATCTTATATTTATTTGATTTTTTAATCTGCTTTTTTTGGTTGAGATTAAAAATTATGAATTTTTATGCACAGAAGGAATCTAATCAAATACCTGTTATTGTTAATGCAAAATATAATGAAACAACTTACCTAGTCATCAAATACACATAAAAAAAGGAAAATTGGTGAAAATAACCTTATTGGAAGGGAAATTGGTCCCAAAAATCAAATACAATTGAAGGACAAAAACTAATATTTTATTCATTAAATAATTTGAACAAATGACTGAAATGCATCTCTGTGTTAATTATTTTTCTTTTCAAGAAGACACAAAATCCGTCCGTCGAAGCTCTGACCATCGGAGTTCCAACAAGTGATAGTATGCCTGTCGGAGCTCTAACCAGTAGGTCGATGAAAAAAATCAACACCTCTTAATTACATGTAAACTCAATAACTAGAGAGTACAAGGATTTTGACTTAAAGTGTAGAGCTGTAATTCGGGCGGGGTGGGCCTATTCGGGCTTGACCTGAATAGGCTCTACTCCCCAAAAAACCCGAATAGCTAAGTTCGACCTGAATTCCTTCGGGCTTCAAGCAATCTAAATACTCAAATTTTATTTTTAAAATCATTTTTAATTAATTATTTTATTTATAAAAATATAAAACATACTTAAATGATGTATAAGACTCAAATATATGGCATTTTAATATAAAATGACCTAAAACTTAAATAATTAATTAATATTTATCATTTTTTATATATTTTCTTAAAACAAAAGATTTATTTGGGTCTTTGGGCCAAGCCTAAACCCGATCGGGCTTGGCTCTAACTTTTTTTGGGCGGGTTCGGCCTAGCCCGTCGAACTCGATCCGAATTACTGGCTCTATTAAGGTGTAAGGCTTCTAACTTGATGTACAAAAGTTATGACTTGGGTGCAAGTGATCTGGCTTAGGATACAAGGCTTCTGGCTTGGATAATTACATGTAATATATTGTGGATTACATGTAAATTAAATACAAAAAAAGCACACCCATGTCAATCCCCCAGAATTACATGAAAATGACTATGGATTAATAGTAAATTAATATGTAAAAAAATTTGTAAGCATGCTTGAGGAATAATTTATATACAATTTCTAGTAAATTATATGTAAATCAATCATATAGAGAGGATGCCCCTATTAGTGCCTTGGATGTACATGTATATTACCATTCATTACATGTAAATCAATGTGGGAAAAAATTCGCGAGCATGCCTGAGGAATAATTTACATGTAATCTCCAGCGGATTACATATAAATCAATTACACAGAGAAGATGCCCCTGTTAGTATCTCATATTTACATGTAAACTGACATTGATTACATGTAAATCGATATGGAAAAATATTTGCAAGCATGCCTGAGGAATAATTTACATATAATCTCTAAAGAATTATATGTAAATTAAACACACAGAGAGCACACCCCTATCAATCCCCTAGAATTACATGAAAATGATTATGAATTATATGTAAATCAACATGTGAAAAAACTCGTGAGTATAACTAAGGAATGATTTACATATAATATCTAGCAGATTGCATGTAAATCAAATACTCAAAGAGCATATCACTGTTAGTGCCCTTGAATTATATGAAAACAATTATGAATTACATAAAAATGACTAAGCCAAATATTTTAAACCCTAAATCAAATCTCTTGCACCGAAGCCATACCCTTTGCACCTTAAACCATAACACATGCACCTTAATCCAGAAGCTTTGTACCCAAATTAGAACCCTTGCACCTTAAGCCAAAATCCTTGCACCCTCTGATTCTAGTACCCTAAATCAAAAAAACATATCAAGGGGAGTAAGAACAACATTATGCCCATGTTAAACTATATCATGCCTTATACAAAAAATAAATAAGAGAACACTCATAATAAGTTCTCTCTTTTTTGAATATTATACATCATATAGCAAGCCATGTCAGCCTGTAAAAGATGTAGATTCAATAATGTAACATTGAGTCTCGAGAAAACAAGTAAATGTGAAAAGCGAGAATGAACAACAATAATTTCAATGAAAGAACATTAATTCCATTAGGTTTGGTTTATTTTTTTGTCAAGTATAATCAAAATGATAAATAAAGACTATAGGGCACCCCATACTAGAAAATATACCATGAGGGGTTAAGAATAATATTATGCCCATGTTAAAATATATCTTAACCTATACAAAAAAATAAATAAGGGGGATGGTCATAAGTACACTTCAAAGTACAATCACAATTTATGATATGAATAAGTTGAATTTGCAAAAGCTTCTTAACTTGAACTTATTTTTCTCATTTTCAGACAAAACCTTATGCTTCAATGCATCCAAAATATTATGCCTGAAATGAAAATTAGTAGCCATCACAAGTGAGTCATTCATACCCTGCTACATTTAGGTATATGATGTTTATCCAAGATAAAATGATTAACCAAAAGCCAAACTTACTATCTAAGTCAATACATAGTGCATGCTCATGAAAATGACTCTAGATTTCATGATAATTATAAACAATTACATGAAAACTTCATTAACACAATAATTATCATACATTGTGTCTAGCTGTCTGCCATCACATACAATGCTACATCTGTCAAATCTATCATATACAATGCTGTAGTAATTTTCATTGAATCTTTTAAGAGATTATCTGAAAATTGAGAAATTAATAAAAGAAAATCTTTATAGTTGCTAAAATTCTAGCAATCATCCTTGCCTTAC